TCTTCAAACTATTTGAAGGCTTCAATATCTGAGATATAGGTGAGAGGATTATTCTAGGAGGGGTGGGTGAGATTCTGTGGCCTGCACTGTACAGGGGGTCAGGCTAGATGATCATAATGGTCCCTTCTGACCTTAAAGTCTAACTACCTCCTTCAAAGACCCTTCCTGAAATGATTTTCAAGATATGTCTACATGTTCTTAAAAAATGAGATTTAAGGGTTATTTTGAAGGAAGAGTTTTTTCTTGAAATAACACTGTGTGGACCATGTTTGTTTTCTCAAAATATGCTATTTCAGAAAAGCGGCTGTCCACAATTATGCAAATGAAGCACGGGAAATCCAAATCCACGCTTCCTTTGCAATTTTGCTTGTCTACATTTGCATTCCTCTCTCGAAGGAGGACTGTAATGTAGAAATACCCGAAGGGAACATGTTCAACCCATTCAGAAACTTGATTCAGGGAGTTGGGCTGCAAACAAGCTGCCTTGCAAGACAGAGTCACTTCCTTGGACTCTTTCAGTGTAAGGAATCTCAACTACCTCATGTTACAAATGCACAACATTGTAAGAATGAAAACATATGTCAGTCCGCTCATTGTTCCATCACGAGAGCCGAGCAATGGCATGTACCTGAATCAGGACACATATTGGCCACTTGGAAAAAAATTGCTTTTCTCTCCCTGTGCCTGTTTTCTACTCCTGTGCTGGGTTGGAAGGTGTTCGGTGCATGCCCTTCCTGGAGTACCACAGTCTGCAGTTACTGATGCTAACCTGGGAGCTCCCTTTGTAACGTACATACCATAGAATCACAGGGCTGGAAGAGGCCTCAGGAGGTCATCAAGTCCAGCCCCTGCCCAAGGCAGGACCAATCCCAACTAAATCAACCCAGTCAGGGCTTTGTCAAGCTAAGATGTAAAAAACCTCTAGGGATGGAGATTCCACCACCTCCCTAGGGAACCCATCCCAGTGCTTCACCACCCTCCTAGTGAAATTGATTTTCCTAATATCCAACCTAGACCTCGCCCACTGTAACTTGAGACCATTGCTCCTTCTGCTATCAGTTACTACTGTGAACAGCATTTCTCCATCATCCTTGGAACCTCCCTTCAGGAGGTTGAAAGCTGCTCTCAAATCCCTCCTCACTCTTCTCTTCTGAAGACTAAACAAACCCAAATCCCTCAGCCTCTTCCCATAGGTCATATGCTCCAGCCCCTAACCATATTGGTCACCCTCCACTGGACCCTCTCCAATGCGTCCACATCCTTTCTATTGTGGGAGGCCTAGAAATGGACACAATACTCCAGATGTGGCCTCACATCTGAATAAAGGGGAATAATCACTTCTCTAGATTTGCTGGCAATGCTCCTCCCAATGCAACCTAATATGCCATTTGCCTTCTTGGCTACAAGGGCACACTGTTGACTCACATCCAGTTTTTCATCCACTGTAACCCCCAGGTCCTTTTCTGCTGAACTGCTACTTAGCCAGTCGGTCCCTAGCCTGTAACAATGCTTGGGATTCTTCCATCCCAAGTGCAGGACTCTGCACTTGCCCTTGTTGAACCTCATCAGAGTGTGGCCCAATCTTCTAATTTGCTGAGGTCACTCTGGACCCTATCCCTGCCCTCGAGCGTATCTACCTCTCCGCCTAGCTTAGTGTCATCCACAAACTTGCTGAGGGTGCAATCCATCCCCTCATTCAGGTCATTAATAAAGATGTTGAAAAAAACCGGCTCTAGAAACGATCCTTGGGCAACAAGACATTGAGTCATTTATCACTACCCATTGGGCCCGACAATCTAGCCAGCTTTCTATCCATCTTACAGCCCATTTGTCCAATCCATACTTCCTTAACTTGTTAGCAAGAATACTGTGGGAGACTGTATCAAAAGCTTTGCTAAAGTCAAGGTCAATCACATCCACCAACTTCCCCATATACACAGAGCTAGTTACCTTGTCATAGAAGGCAATTAGGTTAGTCAGGGTTGATTTTCCCTTGGTGAATCCATGTTGACTATTCCTGATCACTTTCCTCTCTTCCAAGTGCTTCAAAATAGATTCCTTGAGAATCCCCTCCATGATTTTTCCGGGGACCGAGGTGAGGCTGACTGGTCTGTAGTTCCCTGGATTGTCCTTCTTCCCTTTTTTAAAGATGGGCCCTACATTTGCCTTTTTCCTACCACCCACGACCTCTCCCGATCTCCACGAGTTTTCAAAGATAATTTCCATAGGCTCTGCAATGACATGTGTCAACTCCCTCAGTACCTCGTATGCCTTAAGCCTGCCCCCATGGATTTGTGTCTGTCCAATTTTTCTAAATAGTTCTTAACCTGTTCTTTCTCCACCGAGGGCTGCCCACCTCCTTCCCACACTGCGTTGTCTAGTGCAGTAGTCTGGGAACTGACCTTGTCTTTGAAGACAGAGGCAAAGAAAGCATTGAGTACTTCAGCTTTTCCCACATCATCTGTCACTAGGTTACCTCCCTCATCCAGTAAGGGCCCCACACCCTCTCTGATCACCCTCTTATTGCTAACATGCCTGTGGAAACCTTGCTTGTTACCTGTCACAGCCCTTGCTAGCTGCAATTTCAACTGTGCTTTCGCTTTCCTGATAACTCCCCTGCATGCTCGAGCAATAGATTTATACTCCTCCCTCATCATCTGTCCAAGTTTCCACCTCTTGTGAGCTTCCTTTTCGTGTGTTAGCTCACCAAGGATTTCCCTGGTTAGCCAATCTGGTCGCCTACCTTATTTGCTTTTCTTACTGCACATCGGGATAGTTTGTTCCTGGGCCTTCAATAAGGCTTCTTTAAAATACTGCCAGCTCTCCTGGACTCCTTTCCCCTTCATGTTAATGCCTCAGGGGATCCTGCCCATCTGTTCCCTGAAGGCCACAGAGTCAAAGTCTACTTTTCTGAAGTCCAGGGTGTGTATTTTGCTGTTCTCCTTTCTTCCTTTGGTCAGGATCCTGAACTCCACCATCTCATGATTACTGCTGCCCAGGTTCCTCCCACATCTACTTCCCCTACTGGTTCCTCCCTTACCTTCAGGGCATGTTTAGGCTACCCTTGGCATCCGAAAGAAGATATGCAAATGCAGCATGGATTTGCATATCTTCTTCTGATCCCTTTTTTAGAAGAGGTTTTTTTGGGAAAAAAAGCAGTCTAGATGGTGGGGGGGGAGGGTTGAGCAACCCTCCCCTCCCCCCTTTTTCGCAAGAACCCTGTAAACCTCATTTTTTGAGGAAGAGAAGCAAAAAGAAGGTCAATTGGAAAGGAAGAATCAAACCCACAATTATAACGTGAGGAATACCAGGCTCGGTGCTAGTCAGAGCGGATTCCTAATCAAATACGAGTCAACAATACGATGGAATTGTGAACAAGGCTCACATTCAGAGGGGTATTAACAGGAGTGATGTCTGCAAGAAACTAGTAATTGTACCATTCTGCTTGGCTCTGATAAGACCTCTGCAGATTTAATTTCGAAAGAACGCGGCTGTAGTCTAGACGCAGGTGAAGTTTTTTCGAAAAAAGGCTACTTTTTTCGAAAAAAACCCTGAGTCTGGACACAGCCCTAATGTCAGGCTATTACACACTACTGGACATCTCCAATGTAAGTCACATTCTCTCCACTGTACACTCCACTCCACATTCATCTCTACTGTACGGGTATGTCTACACTGCACCCTAATTCCAAGATAACTCTCATTATTTTGAAATAACAATGTGAGCATCTACATCATCATTCTGTTATTTTGAAATAATGGAAGGCTAATTCCAAAATCCGTAAACCTCCGTATTTCAAAATAAGGCATTTGTAGATGCTTCACTTCTGCTATTTCGAAATAGCTCCTCCTCAGTGCCTCATGGGGCTCTAAATAGAGATAGGGGAGCTAGCCTGAGACTACTTTTGAGGCTTCCCTGTAGTGTAGACGTCTCCACGTTAGGGGAGCTTTCCTCAGACTACTTTTGAGGCTTCCCTGTAGTGTAGACGTGATATTTTGAAATAAGTTATTTCAGAATAAATATTCTGGAATATCTTATTTTGAAATAAGAGTACAGTGTAGACATACTCTAATTCACACCATAAAAAAATCAAAATGGAGCCCAAAATTTATGAAGAACAACAATTATATTATTGTGCTATTTTGTTTAAAATGCATTCACTGACAGTACTCAGTGTCTATATTTGGCTTTAAATGAGTTTGTGCCTGTGAATCTCCAAAAGGCAACATTTCTTCCTTGCTATTTTTGTCAGAAGTAGAGTTCTTCTGCTACTGTACCTGTATGAAGAACAACAATTATATTATTATGCTACTTTGTTTAAAATGCATTCACTGACAGTACTCAGTGTCTATATTTGGCTTTAAATGAGTTTGTGGCTGTGAATCTCCAAAAGGCAACATTTCTTCCTTGCTATGTTTGTCAGAAGTAGAGTTCTTCTGCTACTGTACAAACAAATCAGCAGAACCAGTGCAAATGTTTCTTTCCTTGGTGTAAACGGTTCAGAACAGATTTTGAGCCGTCTCATATATTCTCAGAGAGGAAGAAGATTTTTCCAGAGTTCCTCTTGCATCTTGCCCTACAGTTGTTTTTTATCAGGTTCATTGGAGAAAACGCTCTTTCATCTTCAACGTTGTATAAATGCAGTGACAGTCATGAAAGGGCAAATGACTGAGTTCACAAATGCTTTGTCCACGCATGAAAGAATTTCACCATAAAACAGAGAAACATGTTCACCCTCAGGCTGAGGGCAGAGAACCACGGGTAAAACATTCCCCTCCTTTCTCTATTTGTCCATGGTTCCACAAAACAATGGCAGAAGTGAGATATGAGCCCACTGATGTCACAATGGGCTAATCGCAGTAGAAGAGTTCCCTACTTCCTCATACTGTGAACCCCCACAATGCAGAGCTCAGTCAAACTAGGACAGAGCAATCTGGATTAATGAGGAGGAAATGGTTACCCTCTTTGGACATAATTTACATTCAGAGGCCCAATGGGATCACCTTCTGAAGATGTTTTTCCTCATTTTGTCATGGAATTCTTTGGTTTTGACCCCATAAATGATGGGGTTGAGCATGGGAGGGACTAGGAGATAGACATTGGACAAGATGATGTGAACATGGGGAGCAATGCCCTGACCGAACCGGTGTGTCAGGTTGGAGAAGAGGTAGAAAGTAAAAGACATCAGCATTACGCTGATGTGGCCCATGCAGGTGTTGAGGGCTTTCTGGTGGGCTTTCTTGGAGGAGATTCTGAGGACTGCCCTGATGATCAAACAGTAGGACAGGCCGATGAGCGTCAGGTCTATCCCACCCAGTATAAGCAACATCACCAAGTCATAGAGCATTAAAAATGTGTGGTCCCCACATGAAATCTTTGCCACAGCGATACCCTCACAGTACGTGTGAGGGATGATGTGGTTGTCACAGAACGGCAGCCGGCTCAGCATTAGGGGCACAGGCAGCACACAGAGAATCCCTCTTATGAAAATGACCAGCCCTAGCTTGGCTATCCGTGCATTGCTGAGGATGGTGGCATATCTCAGGGGGTTACATATGGCAACATAGCGATCGAAGGCCATTGCCACCAGGACAGCTGCCTGCATTAGAGAAGCCACGCTAAGGAAGGTATTCTGGGTGAGGCAGCCACTCAAAGTGATGCCTTTCAAATTGAACCAAAATATACCCAGGGCCTTTGGCACAACGCAGGTAGAGATGACAATGTCGGTGAGTGCCAGCATGCAGAAGAACAGGTACATCGGCTGGTGCAGGGTCTGCTCTTTGCCCACCATGAACAGAACAGAGAAATTCCCCAACAGGCACAAAGTGTAGCAAGTAGCGAAAGGGATGGCAATCCAGGCATGAGCATCTTCCAGGCCAGGGATGCCTGTTAGGATAAATGTTGGCGTGTCAGAGGGGGTGAGGTTGAAAGCTGCCATGAGGTGGTTGTTGAGACAACAGGGTTCAGAAATGCACAAGGTGCCTGTGAAGAGACAGAAGCGTAGTGAGCGAGGGTTACACATTATAATAAATAACACAGTAAACATATTATAGTTATCACCAGTCCAGAAAGAATGTGAGTAGTGACGTGAAACAAAAAACAGGACTAAGTAGCACTTTAAAGACTAACAAGATGGTTTATTAGGTGATGAGCTTTCGTGGGCCAGACCCACTTCCTCAGATCAAATAGTGGAAGAAAATAGTCACAACCATATATAGCAAAGGATACAATTAAAAAAATGAACACATATGAAAAGGATAAATCAAATTTGTCCTTTTTGTATGTGTTCATTTTTTTAATTGTATCCTTTGGTATATATGGTTGTGACAATTTTCTTCCACTATTTGATCTGAGGAAGTGGGTCTGGCCCACGAAAGCTCATCACCTAGTGTTCATTTTTTTTAATTGTATCCTTTGGTATATATGGTCATGCCAATTTTCTTCCACTATTTGATCTGAGGAAGTGGGTCTGGCCCACGAAAGCTCATCACCTAATAAACCATCTTGTTAGTCTTTAAAGTGCTACATAGTCCTGTTTTTTGTTTCAGCTACACCAGACTAACACGGCTACATTTCTATCAGTAGTAACGTGGTAACTTTTATAGAAGGCACCAGTTATTTTAGACCAAAGTAAAATCCAGAGAAGTCCTCAGAGGGAGCTAACTGTGCCAGGTTAGTTGGCAGCACGATGGCAGATGAACATTGATGTTGAGAGGTGCAACATGTCTGTCGGTTAGAGGGAAAAGTTTGCACTCCATAAATCATCGAATCATAAAGTTGGAAGAGACCTCAGGAGGTCTTCAAGTCCAGCCCCCTGCCCTAAGCAGGACCAATCCCAACTAAATCAACTCAGCCAGGGTTTGTCAAGCTGAGACTTAAACACTTCTAGGGATGGAGACTCCACTACTTCCCTAGGTAACCCACTCCAGTGCTTCATCACCCTCCCTACCTAACTGGGTTCTAATTTAACAGTGTGAATGCAGGACAGGAACCTGGCCCTTGTGGCACACACCTCTGGAAACCTCAGCTCAAACTGGTAGTCCTAATGGAATCTATGAAGGGTGGGATTTGAAATCATACAGAAAATTCAATGCCATGAGATCACTCAGCCCATATTTCACCTGGATCCAAGGCTGAGACACATACATTCTGCAGTGGTGATAATCTCTGGGCTACATCTACACTGGCATGATTTTCCGGAAACGCTTTTAATGGAAACATTTTCCATTAAAAGCATTTTCGGAAAAGCACGTCTAGATTGGCAGGACGCTTTTCCACAAAAGCACTTTTTGCAGAAAAGCTTCCATGGCCAATCTAGACGCGGTTTTGCGCAAAAAATCCCCGATGGCCATTTTAGCCATTGGGGCTTTTTTTGCGGAAAACAGTACTGTGCTGTTTACACTGGCCCTCTTGCACAAATGATTTGCGTGAGAGGGCTTTTGCCCGAACGGGAGCAGCACAGTATTTCTGCAAGAACGCTGACGATCTTACATGAGATCGTCAGTGTTCTTGCAGAAATTCAAGCGGCCAGTGTAGACAGCTGGCAAGTTTTTCTGCAAAATCAAATGATATTGCAGAAAAACTTGCCAGTCTAGACACAGCCTTAGAGAGTTTTTTTCTACCTAACTGGGTTCTAATTTAACAGTGTGAATGCAGGACAGGAACCTGGCCCTTGTGGCACACACCTCTGGAAACCTCAGCTCAAACTGGTAGCCCTAATGGAATCTATGAAGTGTGGGATTTGAAATCATACAGAAAATTCAATGCCATGAGATCACTCAGCCCATATTTCACCTGGATCCAAGGCTGAGACACATACATTCTGCAGTGGTGATAATCTCTGGGCTACATCTACACTGGCATGATTTTCCGGAAACGCTTTTAATGGAAACATTTTCCATTAAAAGCATTTTCGGAAAAGCACGTCTAGATTGGCAGGACGCTTTTCCACAAAAGCACTTTTTGCAGAAAAGCTTCCATGGCCAATCTAGACGCGGTTTTGCGCAAAAAATCCCCGATGGCCATTTTAGCCATTGGGGCTTTTTTTGCGGAAAACAGTACTGTGCTGTTTACACTGGCCCTCTTGCACAAATGATTTGCGTGAGAGGGCTTTTGCCCGAACGGGAGCAGCACAGTATTTCTGCAAGAACGCTGACGATCTTACATGAGATCGTCAGTGTTCTTGCAGAAATTCAAGCGGCCAGTGTAGACAGCTGGCAAGTTTTTCTGCAAAATCAAATGATATTGCAGAAAAACTTGCCAGTCTAGACACAGCCTTAGAGAGTTATCTTCCATTTTGGGCCTGTCTTGACATAGGTGACTTCGGGGCACTTGTCTGGCTCTGTCAGTCTGTTTCCTCATTCCCCTTGTAAGTGTTAAAAATGCTTGATAAAGATCTTGTAGGTATTTTTCTCTGACACTGTGTGGAGCTATTTTGAAATAGCATCAAAATAAGATATGCAGTTTGCATTGCTCAAATTGCGTATCTTATTTTGAGATACGGTGCAGTGTAGACACACCCTCCATTGCTTCAAGGGTCAAAGAATGTGGGCAGTGTTTATATGAGAAATGACTATAATTGTAAGCAAGTGACTCTTAACAAGATTTCGGGGCATGAAGAGATAATTAGCTAATCATGAGCTCCCAATGTGACCCTGTAGCTGAAAGAACCAATGCGACCCATATGTATGTAAGAGAGCAGTGTGATTGCTCAGAACTCCAGTATATAGAGGGAGAAAAGCCTGTTGAGAGTCTATCGCTTAAGGTTAGAGGTGGAAGCAACAGGGGTGATGTTGTGGTTGGTGTGTGCTATAGACCACCGGATCAGGTGACTGAGGTAGATGAGGCTTTCTTCAGACAACTGAGAGAAGCTTCCAGATCACAGGCCTTGGTTCTCATGGGGGACTTTAATCACCCTGACATCTGTTGGGAGACAAATACAGCAGTACAGACAATCCAGGAAGTTTTTGGAGAATGTTGGGGATAACTTCTTGGTACAAGTGCTGAAGGAACTGATCAGGGGCCAGCAGACCCCTGCTGCTCACAAACAGGGAGGAACTAGTAGGGGAAGTAGAGGTGGGTGACAACCTAGGAAGCAGTGATCATGAGATGGTAGATTTCAGAATCCTGACCAAAGAAAGAAAGGAGAATAACAAAATACATGCTCTGGACTTCCGAAAAGCAGACTTTGACTCCCTCAGCCAACCAATGGGCAGGATTCTCTGGGATGCTAACATGAAGGGGAAAGGAGTCCACGAGAGCTGGCAGTATTTTAAAGAAGCCATATTGAAGGCATAGGAAGAAACCATCCCGTTGAGCAGTAAGAAAAGCAAATATGGTAGGACACCACATTGGCTTACCGGGGAAAACCTTGGTGAGCTTAAACACAAAAAGGAAGCTTACAAGAAATGGAAACTTGAACAGATGACTAGGGAAGAGTATAAATATATTGCTCGAGAATGCAGGGGAATTATCAGGAAGGTGAAAGTGCAACTGGAATTGCAGCTAGAAAGGAATGTGAAGGGTAACAAGAAAGGTTTCTACAATCATGTTAGCAATAAGAGGGTGATCAGAGAGGATGTGGGGCCCATACTGGATGAGGGAGGTAACCTAGTGACAGATGATGTGGGAAAAGCTGAAGTACTCAATGCTTTCTTTGCCTCTGTCTTCACAGACAAGATCACCTCCCAGACTAATGCACTAGGCAATGCAGTATGGGAAGGAGGTGGACAGCCCTTGGTGGGGAAAGAACAAGTTAGGAACTATTTAGAAAAACTAAACGTACACAAATCCATGGGTCCACATTTAATGCATCTGAGGGTACTAAGGGAGTTGGCAAATGTCATTGCAGAGCCTTTGGCCATTATCTTTGAAAACTCGTGGACATAGGGAGAGATCCTGGATAATTGGAAAAAGGCAAATGTAGTGCCCATCTTTAAAAAAGGGAAGAAGGAGAATCCAGGGAACTACAGACCTGTCAGCCTTACCTCAGTCCCTGGAAAAATCATGGAGGGAATCCTCAAGGAAATCCGTTTTGAAGCACTTGGGAGAAGGGAAAGTGATCAGGCATAGTCAGCATGGATTCACGAAGGGCAAGTCACGCCTGACCAATCTGACTAGCTTCTATGATGAGGTAACTGGCTCTGTGGACATGAGAAAGTCAGTGGATGTGATATACCTTTCCTTTAGCAAAGCTTTTCATACAGTCTCCCACAATATTCTTGCCAGCAAGTTAAGGGAGTAAGGATTGGATAAATGGACTGTAGGATGGATAGAAAGCTGGCTAGACTGTCAGGCCCAATGGATAGTGATCAATGGTTCGATGTCAGGTTGGTGGTCGGTTTCTAGCCGAGGGCCCCAAAGATCGGCTCTAGGACTGGTTTTGTTCAACATCTTTATTAATGACCTGGATGAGGGGATGGATTGAACCTTCAGCTAGTTTACGGATGACACTAAGCTAAGGGGAGAGGTAGATATGCTCGAGGGCAGGGATAGGGTCCAGAGTGACCTCAGCAAATTAGAAGATTGGGCCACACTCTGATGAGGTTTAACAAGGACAAGTGCGGAGTCCTGAACTTGGGACAAAAGAATCCCAAGCATTGTTACAGTCTGGGGACTGACTAGCTAAGTAGCAGTTCTGCAGAAAAGGACCTGGGAATTACAGTGGATGAGAAGCTGGATATGAGTCAACAGTGTGCCCTTGTAGCCAAGAAGGCAAATGGCATATTAGGTTGCATTAGGAGGAGCATTGCCAGCAGATCTAGAGAAGTGGTTATTCCCCTTTATTTGGCTCTGACGAGGCCACCTCTGGAGTATTGTGTCCAGTTCTGGGCACCCCACGATAGAAAGGATGTGGACTCATTGGAGAGGGTCCAGCGGAGGGCAACCAAAATGATTAGAGGGCTGGAGCACATGACCTATGAGGAGAGGCTGAGGGATTTGGGTTTATTTAGTCTGCAGAAGAGAACAGTGAAGGGGGATTTATAGAAGCCTTCAATTTCCTGAAGGGAGGGTCCAAAGAGG